ATGAAAAAATGCTCAACATCCCTAATCATCAGAGAAATGTAAATCAAAACTATACTGAGGTACCATCTCACCCCAATTAGAATGGCTATTATCAAAAAGACAGAAAATAACAAATGCTGGCAAAAATATGGGGAAAGGAGAATTCTTACACACTGTTAGTGGATGTGTAAATTGGTACATTTATTATGGAAAATGGTTTATCAAACAACTACAGATAGAACTATGACACAATCCAGCAATCCTGCTACTGTGTATATACCCAAAGGAAATCATCATGTCAAAGGGATACCTGCACTCCCATGTTTATTGCAGCTCTGTTCACAACAGCCAAGAGGTGTAGCTAACCTAAATGTCCATAGACAGATGACTGCATAAAGAAAATGTGGCATATATCACAATGGAATACAATTCAATTATAAACAGAATGAATTCTGCTATTCACAGCAGCATGAAGAAATTATGTTAAGTGAAATAAGCCAGCACAGAAAGAGAAATACCACATGTTCTCACTCATAAGTGAGAGCAAAGAAAGAAAGAAAGAGAAAGAGAAAAGAAGGAAGGAAGAAAGGTAGGAAGGAGGAAAGAAAGAATGATAATAAATTGAAGTTTCAGAAGGAGAGAGCTTAACTGTGGTTTCTAGAGATGAGAAAGGGGAAGGGGAAGGGGTGATGGTGACAGGTTGGTTAATGTACACAATACATCTAGATAGGAACAGTAAGTTCTATTGGTACACAGTCAAGCCAGGTGTCTACAATTAACAATTATTTACTGCATGTTATCAAATGGCTAGAAAAGTGGAGATTCAAGGTCCTCATCACAAAGAAATGATTAAGGTTTATGTAATGATGAATATCCTAATTACCCTGATGTGATCATCACACATTATATACATGTATTTATGTTTGATTCTGCACCCACAAATATTTATAATCAACATGTTTCAATAAAAATAATAAATAAACAAAAAAAAGTGGTTCGTGGATACTTTAAGTGGAAGCTTCACATATCATACTACTCCCAAGTGACCAGTACAACAGAACGAAGTGGGATGTTGAAGATCCAGATGAAGCAGACATTTCATTGTGAAGGCATCTTGCCAGGTAGAACTTCCATCTTTAGTCAGAAATCTTTATATGGCTCAGTTTTTTTCTCAGAACAGGATTCTAAATCTAATTATGAAAATGATTTAAAATAAAGGAAATTCTAGCATAAATTTTACTGCAATGATTAAAAAGGTAATAATTTTTAAATATCTTTTTAAAAAGATTTTACACCCAATATCTTCAAGGGCTTTTGGTTGTACATTTCAACATTCCTAAAGACTGACAATTGCAGTAATTTCCTGCTTCTCTTAGATGGCCAAGCACAGACCCCTCAAACTCTCACCACAGCACCAAATAAAGTGAAAAATGTATAATACACATATAGGATTAAGAACTTGAGAGAAGAATAAAATTATCTGGTAAAATAACAGTAAAGAGGCAGGAGGATTTGCTTAGACCTTGGAGAATCTTCTTGCAATATTTGTTTCTATCAATGAAAAATTAGTTTTTTCAGGACTCTCTGGCCCTTAAAATCATAAGAACAGATATATAAACCAAGTCTCATTTTGGTTGTGAGTTATAGAAACTCACACTAAAAGAAGACAAAAGAGGGCCGGCCCGGTGGCGCACTGGAGAAGTGCGCCGCTTGGGAAGTGCGGCCGCACTCCCGCCGAGGGTTCGGATCCCATATGGAGACCAGTATGGATACCAGTTCCCGCTCACTGGCTGAGCGCGGTGCGGGCACAACACTGAGGGTTGCGATCACGTTGCCAGTCAGTAAAAAAAAAGACAAAAAGGAAACAAAAGAAAAAGAAAAGATTCATGTGACTAGAATACAGTAGACTGACCTTCTGGCACAATTAGGTCTAGGGCCCTCAAAATATTTAGCCTTAGTTTCTTTGTGTATCTTCTTTTCTGCTTTTCTCTGGTTCTGTTTTTCTCTGTATTGGCTTTAACTTCAGGTAAGGTCAATATTCATGGAAATCCGGATAGTCACCGGCAGCCTGATTCTCTTCCACCAATTTAGTCATATAGGAGATGCTCTTGGTGTCCTGCCAGCTTCCTGTTGGCATTCATTCTTCCCACACATGCCAGAGACTTCTTATCACATGCAACTGTGAACTCCCTGGCTGGGGACTTCCTGTGGCTAAAGGAATGAGAGAAGGTTGGAAGTATGGAAAAGCTAACGCTCCAGAGCAGCCCTCAATTTTGAGGTGTGTTCTACACCGTTCTCCAGAGGGTCGCATTGGAATTGAGCTCCAGATTCCCAGAGCAATAACCTCATCATCAGCACCATATCAATTTGGAAAGGGTCCTTCCCTCCCCAATGCAGATTTATGGACAGGAAGATCTGCATCAAAAGATGTGCATGCACCTCACATCCAGTGTGTCATGACTCCCTTTCCTTCCCTGACTTCCCCATTCCTCAGTCAGAGCTTCTTTGGATCAACTCTCAATTAACTATTTTCCTCCAAATCTTCATCTCAGAGTCCGCTCCTGTGGGATTCCAACTTAACACAAGCAGCTCCCAAAGAAAGATATTTTGTTTCCTCCACTTACTAGAGAAAGCTGCTAAGTCTAGGGCTTTGTGAAGGCTGATTACAAGTCACATGCTCTCCCTTTTTCTAAGGAAAGAACAATACGTGTCTTCCTCACATGAATAAATACATCTACTATATAAGGAGTAATATGTGTGGGATAGGCAAAATACCGCATTGCCATTAGAGCTTGGGATAGCTCATAAGTGGCATCCAATGGACATCAACCAAATTATTATTTAACTCCCCAGGTCCTCTACAATTGTTTTGAGTAGCATTCTGAGTCTGAATACTCCAGTATCAATTGTAACATATGTTTAGACTATTAATTTGATGCATGTATCCTAATATTTAATTAATTCCTTTTTGGAAGTTTCACAAAACACAAAATTAGGACAGTGTAGTATGGGTTTACAGACTATGGGAAACAAAGTGTTCTAATATTGGTTGTAGGAGAGAAATGTGTGAGACCCTGATAAAAATGAGAAGCAATGAAAAGAATACTGATAAATTGGATATATGGATTCCGGTAGATTTGAGGACAAGCTGTAGCTAATGAAGTTTTTTATATTGGGTCCATGAAAAAGCATTACAAGTATTCAATGCATATTGTGGCCCTCAATGCAAACATAGTAGAAAACTTTTCTTTTTATTTCCTTTTCCTTTTGTTTAGAAGTCTTAATCAAACCTCTAGTATAACTCTAAAATCTGAGGTTTTATCGCTATTGGAAAGTCACTTAACCGTGGTGGAAGATCCTTCCATGGGGTTCATTCTGGAGTCAGACACAGGAGTAGAAGGGCAAGGGTACCAGGATAACTCCCACACTGAATGTTTTACTTGCTGACTGGAGGGGTGAAAGTGGAAGGGAACTTTTCTAAGACATGTGTATATTGGAAATAATAAGCTATGCGGCATGGAAATCAAAACCAGGAGCAGAAAATGGCCATAAAAAAACAATAAACACTTTGCAGTGAGAAGCCACTGGTCATTGGATACCACAGGGAGAAGTTAAAATCATCTAATTTATCCTTAATATCCACCCATTGGAATAGATATTTTACTTAAGTACAGTTTGCAGAAAAGGAAACTGAAGCTTAAGGCTTAATATGACTTCACCCTGCTGGTATGTGTCCGACCTGACCCTTGAACTCACGTCTCGATGATTCCAAAATTTATGTTATCACCATTACCTCTCTCTGTAGCAATTCTAATCGTGAGTGTTAGAAAACTCTTCCAGACTCCATTTTATCAGAGCCTGAAGTGCTACAACTCTTAGCGATGCTGTATATATTTGAATCATTTATATTTTTAAAAATGATTAGTGTGACATCAGGGGACATAGTAGACTAGCCAATATATTTCTTCATTTTCATTCAACCACAGCTAACTGGAAGAATTATCTGCTTGAATCCAATAGCATTTATTCAATGCGCTGACTGGACCAGCTTCTGAACTGGTCTCCCTACTTTTCTCTTACACCTCTATGGCTTCTTACCGCAGATCAGCCAGAATAATCAATTAAATGTAAGTCAGGTCATGTCGGTTCGTTGCCTAAAACCTACAAGGGCTTCCTACTATGCACAAAATATAGTTGAAAGGTTTCTCTGTAGTCTAAAGGGCTCTGAATTCATGTCGTATTTCACCTGCTCCCCCACACTCAGTATCACCTGCTCCCCCACATTCATTCAGCCAGACAAGCCCTTCTGGTGTTTTCTCGAATGCTGGAGGCATTCTTGGTCTTAGGGACTTGTGCTTACTTATAATTCACTCTCCCCCATATATACACACATCTTGAACTTTCTCTTTAGTCAAGTCTCAACTCAAACGTGGCCTTCTCTGAATGCGTTCCCTGACTATCCTATACATGGGATGAAATAACACGAATACTCTATCAATGCCACTCTCTTCACCATCTACCTCTTAGCCCGTGTGGTTTCCCCTTTACTGCATAGCATGCATTATGTGATTATTTACTTACTTATGTACTTATGATCTTTATGTTTTATATTCTACTCAGACTGAGAAAAAAAGGAACTCGATTTGTTTCCTTCACTGCAATATTCCAAGAGCAGAGAACAATTCCTGACATATTGTATGAATTTAATTTTAAAAATAGTGAATGATGAATGAATGGATCAATGAAGAGACATGCATAAATGATTATTATGTTAAAGATGCTGTTTTAAGCATTATGAAATAAGTTTGTTTTTATACACATATTTTCCAAAGACCTTTCTCAACCTTCTTTCCCATATGAAACAAATTCTTTTTTTTCATATTTAAATCATCTTTATTTACAAAATACTATCCTGAGAATTATACTTCTATTAAGCTTCAATTAGAGCAAAAAAAGGAGTTACTTAAACTGAAAATGAAAGATAAGTCAAAACTATTCATGAAGAGAGACCAAAAATATCATCAGGTTTCTTGCTGTGGTTCTGGACTTCAGGAGCAGGCTCACTTGAGGGCGGAATCAACCCTAAAGGGAACTCACCCCTACTTTCAGAATGTGGGGGTGGAGGTTCAAATCCAGCTCTTAGAGGAACATAAGGAGGAAAGCCCCTCAGTGAATAGACATTTCTGGCTGCAAATGGAGGTGGTGGCTGGACAGGGAAAACCCTTTGAGGGCGGAATCGACCCTGAAGGGAACTCACCCCTACTTTCAGAATGTAGGGGTGGAGGTTCAAATCCAGCTCTTAGAGGAAGATAAGGAGGAAAGCCCCTCAGTGAATAGACATTTCTGGCTGCAAATGGAGGTGGTGGCTGAACAGGGAAAACCCTTGGTAGAAAATAATTGCGGGGAGCTCCATACATGCTTCCTGCAGGAGGTGGAGGAAAAGGAGGTTCTCTTCTCATGAATGGACCCCTCATATCCACTGGAAACACTGGACCTCTGATTGCAGGAAAAGGTGGAGGAACAAAGCCAGGGCCAGGTGCTTCACTTTCAGCAGGCACAGATGAATTAGGCACATTTACATTACCAAGGTCGTCTTTGGTATCATTTCTACTGGATTCCGTTTGTGAAGACTTCGGCTCATCTACTTTATCCAAAGAAGGCATACTACAACTTCTAAGTGCTGCTGGTCCAGACGGTCTACCGGGAGTAGAATAAAATCTGTCTTGCCTTTGTGGAAGAAGAGCTGGATCAGAACATGGTTGGCCTGGTGGAGAGATCATCATCCTCAAGTGCTGTTCCCATGGAGGTGACAGGAATCCAGAAGGTGCTCCCTGAGAATCAGGTAACCTATCACAGCCAGATTCTCCTCTTTCATTGGTCATCTGATGGTCCAGAGTATTCTCTGGGCCTCTTGAGCCTCTTCCTCCTCCTCGTCCTGGAGTCAAAGGTGAGAGTCTGAGTGGAGGGAGAAACGCTCTCGTTTCGGATGAAGGTCGACCCAGTGGTGAGGGACCATATGGGGAATGCTCTCCGCCAAATGCTGTATTTGGAACATCAAGTGCATAAGGATCTTTTTTGAAAAGTTCAAATTTAAACTCTTTTTCAGCTAATTTTTGCCTCTTGGAAACATTTACTTTCCTTAAATACCTGAGGTGTCTTTCAGCAGTCTCAGCTGCCACCCAATTATCATGCGCTTTTTTCTCATAGGAAGTCATCTGCCCTTGGTAAAAACGAATGCTTCTCTCCAATTCTTCTTCCACAACTTTGGCTCGCCTTCTATAGGTCTCCAGTTCTTCAGCTGCATGGCTGATCTTGTCTTCCACTTTGGAAAGTTTCTCCTCCTTCTCTAACAGGTCTTTTTCCTCTACTATTAATTTCCTGTGGAGTTTCACTCCATTTTCTTGATACAGTTCAGTCATTACTTTAAGTTTCTGCTGAAGCTTCTGATTTTCACTTTCCAAATGTGTGTTTTCTGATTGTAAAGATGCTTGTTCAGTCTGGAGATTTGTAATACACTCTATAAGCTCTTCCTTTGTTTCATCTACTTCAGACAACTGAGTGTAAATTTGGTTTCTTTCTTCTTCTAGAGTTTTTAAAGAAGCCTTGAACTGAGCAGCGTGACTCAGTTTCTTCAAAGCTCCTTTTGGCTGATCATCTAAGTGAGCACCATTTGGGATTCACTCTTCACCTCCAATTCCAAGTCATCATCCGTCATGTCTTGTCCAAGCACAGCAGCCCAGTCTCTCATCTTGAGCAAGCGTTCAGTCAGAGACTTGATGTGATTGTCTTTCTCACTTAGAACTTGTTCTGCCTGTACTTTGGAGCCTTCAGATGTTATTTTCTGTTTATTAAGTTCACTCATTTGTTCTTTCAATAATTCCGCTTCTTGTGAAAGCTGTTTCTGGCTTTCCTGAAGTTGGGAATTTTCATTCAACGTATCTTTTATTGCCACCTTCAGACGTTCTTCATTCATTTGAAATATTTTGCAGATTAGTTTGGCTTCAGCTACTTGTGACTTGATGGATTTGGATTCATCTTCTAGGGACTGTATCCTTTTTGAAATATGTGCCATCAATTCATCTTGCTCTGAATGTTTAGGTTTCTGTTCTTTTAATTCTCTTGCTAGAAAGACGATTTCATCCTCAAGTTTAGATTTGGACCTGTTCACCTTTTCATAGGTTGCCTCCAAACTTTGTGATTCTGTTGACTCCTTCTCAAAGCTGGCATCCTTCAAAGCTGACTCTAAGCCTTCATACTAATCTTGAACAAAGCTCAATTTTTCAAGTAGTTTACATTTTTCTTCAATTAGTCCAGAAAGCTCTTCAGCAAGCTTTTTCTCTCTTCCTACATAAAGCCAGCTTCTAACCAATGGAACACTTCTCCACAAAAACAAGAGAAGAAAAAACCCAGTAAGAGCCGCACATATCACCAATTCCCACGGAAAAGCAGGGCCCGGTCTCAGATCTTCAGGCGCTGCTGCCAACGTCCTGCACAGCTTTCCCAGGACCAGCCCCAAGTATGGCTGAGGGGCAGCCCTGGGCACCTCCATGGCGGCGAGGTTGCTCTGGCTGTGGCCGCGATAGCCACGGCCTGGCCGGGCCACAACCAGCAGCAGAGACAGCTCTGCGTTCTGGCGGGATCGCGAACCGGCCCCGGCGACAGCAGCAGACCACGGCGCAGCCGGCCCTGCGGGCAGCGGAGGAGCACTGGCGCCCACCGGACTCAGGCGTCCCCCACGCGCACCCTGGTAACTAGGGCCCTTTGTGACGTTTCGCTTATGTCACGCGGGCTCGAGCCCGCCCCGCAGGAGCCTTTGACAGATGCTGTCCTCGCCACCCCCCACCTCCGCTCGGTAGCTGTAATCTGTCTTTTTATTTTTTTTAATTTATTTTTTATTTTTTATTTTATTTTGTCAATATACAATGTGGTTAATTACTGTGGCCCATCACCGAAAGCTCTCTCCCTCCCCCCTCTCCCCCTCCCACCCAACAATGTCCTTTCTGATCGCTTGGGGTATCAATTTCAATGCATTGTAATTGTTATGTCTTCTTCCCCCAAGTCAGGCACCGAAAGAGAAATATCACGTTCTCACTTATTGGAGGGAGGTAAAAATAAATACATAGATACACACACACACACATACACACACACACACACACACACACACACACACACACACACACAAAACCGGGGAGGGGGATGAAAAAAAATCTTCTATAAACACTGTGCCACCACACTGCTATAAATGGGGTAAGAATAACCCTGAGGGGCCGACCCCACGGCTCACTTGGGAGAGTGCGGCTCTGGGAGCGCTGCGGGGCTCCCGCCCTGGGTTCGGATCCTATATAGGGATGGCCTGTTGAGCACGGTGCAATCGACACCAAGCCACTGGTTGCAATCACCTTACCGGTCACGAGAAAGAGATAAAAACAAACAAACAAACAAAAAGAATAACCCTGAGAAGAAGAAACCCTCCCAGATAGAGACGCTCCAGGGGCAGCGCAGCTTGAGTAAATTATATATATACATATATTTTTTGTTTGTTTCCCTGTTTGTTTGTTTTTTTCTTTGTTGTTGTTGTTGATGTTGTGACAAGTAAGGGGATCGTAACCCTTGGCTTGGTGTCGCCCGCAGCGCTCTCAGCCTGTGAGCACACCGGCCATCCCTATATAGGATTCGAACCCACAGCGGGAGTAAAGCTGCTTCTCCCAGCGCCGCACTCTCCCGAGTGAGCCATGGGCCGGTCCTATATATATATATGTTTTATCAAATACCTGCTTCTTTCTGACCTTTAGAGGCCAAGCACGTTTAGAAATCTACTCTAAGTTAATTCCATTTTATATTCTGAGGGCAGCCCTTTTTATATATAGCATGACTTAAAATATTAAATTTGCAGTATCAGTTTTAACTCTGGCTCCTATCTCATCTTCATATCCCACTGAATCACCTGCAGGTCTGGAGTGTAGCCTTTACCTCACTCTTCCTGTTGGCATTTGCACTCCTCATCCTCTGCTCTTATGTCTGTTTCACCCACTGGACCTCTGGATGTGCCCCTAATCTTTGCTGTTGGAACCTCTGCTTGCTTGCCCAGCCCTGTGATTTTGCATGGTATCCAATTGCCATTCTGTCCTGTCATTCTGCCTTTCTAGTTGTAACATTTCCTTAGCTCCAAAATTTTTGTCCTTTTTTATTTTATTTTTTGTGTGTGTGACCTGTAAGGGGATCACAACCCTTGGCTTGGTGTCGCCCCCACTGAGCTCAGCCAGTGAGCGCACTGGCCATCCCTATATAGGATCCGAACCCGCAGCGGGAGTGCTGCTGTGCTCCCAGTGCCGCACTCTCCCGAGTGAGCTATGGGTCGGCCCTAGCTCCAAAATTTTGAAAGATGTTTTAATTTAACAAACAAAAATTATCATGAACAAAGATACTGAGTAAAGGGAGAAATCACTAAGTATATTTTCATGTTGTTACATATATAGAAAGTAGGAAGACTAATTAATTAATCCAAGTACATGCTATTTCTTTATAGAATAGCTTTGCAAACAGAAGCTCATCGTATAACTTCGTATAATGTATGCTATACGAAGTTATTACGCTTTTCTGAATATCAGAAAAATCTACCATAGGTTACTACAATAGTCTTCTATTAATTTTAAATGAGACAATAGTGAAACACTCTTTCTACATTGTCAAGTGATTTACTATGTAAACTACTACTTGGTTATAGGACATAATGCAAAGTACTCACGAATTTTAAAGTGGCGATGTTGAGTTGTTGATTTTTGTATATAAAGTATTGTTATTGCTATGCCACATGGGTCTATAAATAAGAGCTATGGGACTGGCCAGTACGTCACTTGGGAGAGCATGGTGCTGATAACACCAAGGCCAGGATTCAGATCCCTGTACTGTCCAGCTAACATATAAATAAATAAATAAATAAATAATAAGTGGTATGAATAAAAACAACATATTTTCTCATGATACATCATAAGGAACATCCAAAGATGATCATGAAAAGAACAGATATTTCACACAGGAAAAACTGGTTGAGATTAAACTCTATTTTTTTAAAAATTTGATTTTATTTAAATTGTGATACTTGAGGTTTGCCATATCATAATACCAAGGAAAATTAATCAGTGCTTTAAAATATAGAACATCTGTGCCTTTAATTTATAATTTTGTTATTTTATGTCAAATGTGAACAATTTTTCCTTTGAGCTATACAAGATAATTCAAATTAATTAACATAATTTCCCCAGGAAAAAACAACATTACAATTAACTCATTACATAAAACCTACCCCATCATTCTTAAAATGGGGCACCATGGCATGTCTTCCTTCACACAATTAACTCATTACATAAAACCTACCCCATCATTCTTAAAATGGGGCACCATGGCATGTCTTCCTTCACCCATGACTGTCTGGGAGGGTCAAATTGGGATGTCTATGTGGTCAGAAAAATAATTAGTAGAGTCCCTTGAGTTTGTTTAGCTATTCAATCTTCTTCTCTGCCTGTTCTGCATTCTCCTTTTCTATTGCTATCATTCATTATCTTGAGTTGGCTGAAATACATGCTTTTTTGTGTTATATGAAAATCTCCTCCCATTCCATTGTTGAAAAATCCCCTTTGAGTTCCCAAATTCATACACACATATGAGATATGTGTGTATATATGTGTATATAGTATACATGCATATATATTTTTTCTTTTCTCCAGAGCAATTTTAAACACTTTACTGTGATTTAAATAATTTAGGAAATTAACTTTTGTCTGAGATGACGGGATAAATGAAAACGTAGCATATATAACAATGGAATACTATTCAACTATAAATAGAATGAAATTCTGCTATTCACAGCAGCATGAAGAAATTATGTTAAGTGAAATAAGCGAGCCACAGAAAGAGAAATACCACATGTTCTCACTCATAAGTGAGAGCAAAGAAAGAAAGAAAGAGAAAGAGAGAGTAAAGAAGGAAGGAAGAAAGGTTGGAAGGAGGAAAGAAAGAATGATAATAAATCGAACTTTCAGAAGGAGAGAGCTTAACTGTGGGAAAGGGGCGGGGGTGTTGGTGACAGGTTGGTTAATGTACACAAAACAGCTAGACAGGAACAGTAAGTTCTATTGGTACACAGTCGAACCTGGTGCCTACAATTAACAATAATTTACTGCATGTTATCAAATGGCTTGAAAAGAGGAGATTCAATGTCCTCATCACAAAGAAATGATTAAGGTTTATGTAATGATGAATATCCTAATTCCCCTGATTTGATCATCACACATTATATACATGTATTTATATTTGATTCTGCACCCCACAAATATTTATAATCAACATGTTCCAATAAAAATAATAAATAAACAAAAAAAAAGTGATTCGTGGATACTTTAAGCGGAAGCTTCACATATCATACTACTCCCAAGTGACCAGTATTACAGAACAAAGTGGGATGTTGAAGATCCAGATGAAGCAGACATTTCATTGTGAAGGCATCTTGCCAGGTAGAACTTCCATCTTTAGTTAGAAATCTTTAAATGGCTCAGTTTTTTTCTCGGAACAGGATTCTAAATCTAATTATGAAAATGATTTAAAATAAAGGAAATTCTAGCATAAATTTTACTGCAATGATTAAAAAGGTAATAATTTTTAAATATCTTCTTAAAAAGATTTTACACCAAATATCTTCAAGGGCTTTTAGTTGTACATTTCCACATTCTTTTTTTTCCTTTTTGTCTTTTTTACTGACCGGTAACGGGATCGCAACCCTCGGTGTTGCGCCCACACCGCACTCAGCCAGTGAGGGGGAACCAGTCTCCACATGGGATCCGAACACTCGGCGGGAGCGCCACCACACTCCCAACCGGTGCACTTCTCCAGTGCGCCACCGGGCCGGCCCCATTTCCACATTCTTAAAGATTGACAATTGCAGTAATTTCCTGCTTCTCTTAGATGGCCAAGCACAGACCCCTCAAACTCTCACCACAGCAGCAAATAACGTGGTAAATGTATAACACACATATAGGATTAAGAACTTGAGAGAAGAATAAAATTATCTGGTAAAATAACAATAAAGAGGCAGGAGGATTTGCTTAGACCTTGGAGAATCTTCTTGCAATATTTGTTTCTTTCAATGAAAAATTATTTTTTCAGGACTCTCTGGCCCTTAAAATCATAAGAACAGATATATAAAGCAAGTCTCATTTTGGTTGTGAGTTATAGAAACTCACACTAAAAGACGACAAAAGAAAAAGAAAAGAATATACTGATTCATGTGACTAGAATACTGTAGACTGACCTCTGGGCACAATTAGGTCTAGGGCCCCCAAAATATTTAGCCTTAGTTTCTTTGTGTATCTTCTTTTCTGCTTTTCTCTGGTTCTGTTTTTCTCTGTATTGGCTTTAACTTCAGGTAAGGTCAATATTCATGGAAATCCGGATAGTCACCGGCAGCCTGATTCTCTTCCACCAATTTAGTCATATAGGAGATGCTCTTGGTGTCCTGCCAGCTTCCTGTTGGCATTCATTGTTCCCACACAT